CTAAATATGCAGATTTTAAAGGCTTGCACCACTGTAAATATTTTTTTCACCCACTCAACTGCCAGGGAATTCAAGGAGAGGATGTCCAGGGCGGCAGGAGCGCTGCCGCAAGCGCATCCCGTGCTGGGTGGACGTGGAGGCAGACGCAGGCACCTGAGCTGAATCCTGGCCCTCCTGCCTGGCTAACTGCACTTGAACAAACACGAGCAGGGAGGAAAGTGAAGCAAAACAGAACAAAAACCTGACAGCCAAGCCGGACAGGGGGAATATTTACCTAGATAAGGCTGCCAGTATTGCAAGGCTGCTCTCACGGTGAACTAGTGGGAGTCTCACCACGCAGCATCATTAGTGTATTAGTCTTAACTCCCTGAAAAGCCTTAAAGACCTGGCTGGGCAGAAGGCAGAGTAAGCGGTCTGTGGAGTGGCAAATCTTGCCTCCCAAGCAAGATCCTTCTTCCTTGAGGAATCCCGCGTCGGCAGCCCTGGCCGTGCTCCTGTAAGCGGCCGCGGCGGGTGAGCTCCTCAGCTGGGAGCGATGCACGTGCGGGAGCAACGCGCCCCGCTTCTCCTCAGCGCAGGAGGAGAAACACCACGGTGCTGTGACAAGCTCTACCCGCAGCACCACGCGCGCGGTCCTGCTCACCACGGCTCTGCGAGCCCATCGGAGCCGGTCGGAACCGGTTGGAGCCGGTCGGGCAAGAGCGGCGATGCCGAGAGCCGCCTGCTCCGCTGTGGAAAACCCTGCCGGACGCTTGGCCATGCGCCCTGCCACAAGCGGCGGCCTCTTCTTAAGCGAGCATTTTATAAAAGTCTAAGAGAAAAACCTGTGTCCTTGAGACTCCAAACCAGGTGCCAGGAGCCTCGCGGCAGCAGAAGCTGCCCATTTTACTCATTTTACTGGAGCATGTTCATTTTTAAGGCCAAAACAGGGAATTGTTGCGTCTATGGAAACATCTGGCATCCCTCAGAAAGCCCTGGGTGTCAGTTATAACTGACAAAGACTTTCTGTAACTTACCCTCACGTATTAGAGCAAAGCAAAAACCAACAGTGATTAAGAAGGTAGGAATCACCTGTAAGCAGCACTGCACCAGGACATTGCACTAGGCTTAACTTACCCCTTACATTAGAATTACTCACCCCTTCTATCTTGTTTAATAAGTACTTTACTTACAGTGATTGGAAGCACTGCACTATGCATTTCTGTCCGTGCTGTCCGAATTACAGCAATGCATAACCTACCTTTTTGTACTGGGGAGAAGGGAGACCACAAACACAGTCACGCATCTGGTAGCTTCGACAGGTCAGTACTTCTCCTGCTTGAGTGTGGACGTTAACTTCTATTGGGACATAAATGCCTTCTTCAACTCCCTCCTGCCTGTAAAGGACATTCCTTTCATGCCAAACCACCCATGCACAGGTGACAACTACAGCATGTCTTTCAAACAAAGTATGCAATTACACATAAGCATTTAGAATAAAAGAGCTTAAGGCAGAACACTGGGTTGCACCATTGACCAAATTAAAACAAAAAAATCCCTGCTTTTTGTCAAAACTTGCTTCAGATCCCAAAATAAGTCTCCTTCTAAAGAATGAGCAGCACTCACTTTTATCACATTAGTAATATGAGGAGTCTAGTGGCTAACTTGCAAAATTAGAGAAGGTTACTTGTGAATTAGTTGATGACTGTGCAAGTTTCATAATCTACAACAGAAGCACAAGCAAGGCTATCAGAATTACTAAGGCAGGCACACATCATTCACTACCTTCCGCTCAGATAACAAAACAATTGCAAAGTTTTATCTTGCCCATTGTGTTACATTTGAATAAGAGGAAACTTGCCTAACTCTGGCAGTGCGTAATCCAGGACACCCTTTAATTTGCACAAGACTTGTAGATCCTGTACAGCAGCAACAAGCAAGATCAGGGCAATAAATAAATAAATATTTTTTGTTGCCTCTGGTTCTGTCTTTAACCATTAATACTTAATCACCAATAAAAGTCTTAGGAAATAGTAAGATATAAAGAAAAAAAACTAATGCTTCTTAAAATCTGCTACAGATAAGAGTGATGACATGAGTTCTAGCAGTGCTTATCAAAATGAGATCCAGGTGTTGGACACATCATCTCTCTTTTAATACTGTTTTGCAAGTTACTTAACCTACATAACACAGGCCGTGCTGTGTGAGCCACGAGGTACAGACAGGTTGAAAGCTAAGTGCACAGTCAAGGCCAACAAAAAGAACACAAAATTTAAAGTCACACAGTGCGGTGGGAGCAAGAAAAAACATACAAATATGTAACACTGTCTGCTGGGGTGCTAGAGGAAAGTCATTTCGTTGATGATCTGTAGCTTCGGGATGGCCAGAAGATAGGAAAAAAAAAAAAAAAAAAAAGTCCCTCAGGTCTCACTCTGAAAAAGAGCACTGAAACCCACTCAGGGACAACATTAATCATCCAACCTAAAAATTCCTCTTCTATACTTACATTCTAAGTATTATTTTGTTTTACTAGGGTTTGAATTACATGCAGCATTCATTATAAACTTCCTCTTCTGTTTCTGATTAACCAAGCACCAACTTCTTTACCCAGAGAGAAAAAATGGGTGACATTTTCTTTTTTGACAAACGGAAATGCAAGAAAATAATTACCTGAGAACTTCCAAATAAACCCATTTGTGCACAACCAAAGAATCCCAACATCTTCAGCAGCGATACATGTACGCTCAGTGGAAATACTTAGAAGCAATTCTTAAAAGAACACTATCAACTATCCTTTAAAAAATACACTGTAGAAGCTTGATAGTAAAAGATTTATCACCAGGGATTTTAGAGGGAAGATATGCAGATAAGGAAACCACTTCTTTATATATTTACAGGAAGAGTTTCCTCTTTGGTTCCTTCTCACTTCATAGATGTTTTTCTACAACAATTCTGCCATGCGCTCAGTCATTTACGCAATATAAAAGATGGGGCAGAGAGGATACAAATATTTATTGTACTGATTTTTCTTTCTTTTTTTTTTTGGCCTGTAGAACCCTTAAGGACATAGTTAGCTCCTTCAGGCTTAGCACGAATCACACTACATCAAGTCATCTTGCTTTTGTAAGAATACATCCTGAAGGAGCAAGGAAGAATCACCTCCATCCTCCTCCCATTTCTAGACCACACCAGGAGCACAGCACTGTGCTGACAGCACAGGGAGTGCAGGATACCAGCCAAAGTTTTGGAGATGAGCAAGGTGCTGCCAGCTCTTCCCATTGAAGAGGGCAAACAAGACTGCCACTGCTCCCTGCCTGGATCTCCCTTAAATCTACAAAGATTAAAAGCCTTAAAAGGGAAGACAAGCAAAAGTTGCTTCCCCCAAAGGTCTCTTCGCTTGCGTTAAAAATCTGCTTCTCTTCTGCAAAGTCAGGTCCTCGCCCCTTCCCCTTTCCACTGCCGCTGCAGTCTGGATATACTGAGACAGAAATTGGTGTCAATCTCAGAGCAAACTCTCCTCAGAGCAGTGGAAAACAGCTCACAGATCAGACATGGAGTACAGAGTCAGACATGGGCAGGATACTGTGGGGACAGTGTAAAAATGTAACCTGACAAACATAGGTGCAAATCAAGTTTAATTCTCTACTAAAATATCTCTAAGTAGCATTAATGTGGAAAACAAAGTCATTTAACCACAAACACTTTAGAAGTCAGCACATGTAAAATTGAAATATTAAAATAAAAGGCATCTTCTTGATCCCAAGCAAAGCCTCCACATTGGCTTTTGCCAAAAATTAACTTTTGAATTGCTCTCTGAAGGAATACAAGACAGCAAAATTAAGTCACCTACTTATCCAGAGAACTTAAATGGCTAGCGTTCATTTTCCACACTATTCCCCATACTTCATCTCCAGGGCTCTGAACAACGGTGGCTGCACCTCCATGCCAGAGAGGACTTATTCTGCCTTGGTGATGGCCAAAAGCGAGCTTAAAATCCTGCAAATGAAACCAATGCAGAGAATCAGTTTCTACTTAAGATAAGGGCTGTTGACTCATCTTAAGATGAAAGGGGCAGCTACGCAGCAGCTTGCAAGAAGCCATTTGGAGCCCTGGGAGGAGGAACCAAGGGTCACAGTGGAAGGATCAGATCCAATTCCTGGATAAGGGAAGACTTAAAAATAAAAATCGACATCAGTGCAGAGCTGAACTTCACAGCTGATCTTCTGTGAGGGGTATGAGAACAAACAGCAACCTGTCCAAGATGCGGTTTGCCACATCAGTAGAGTCATCCTCCTTCCTTGGGAGAAGTCCCTCACTCAAGCAGTTTTTCTAGGAGGACAGAAGCTCATCTAGGCCCACTAATCATCAACCATCCTACAAGCTGCCGCCAACTCCTTTGCAACGTCTGGGTCACCGGATCGCTGCAATTGGGCAGGGCCCTGGATTGGACTTTGCGAGAGAGTCAAGCATGGAAAAAAAAAACGCAGGGAAGTAAATAAACCCGTCAGGCAGAGGCCCAAGGCTGCGGGACAAGTGTTTGCAGGGCTGCTCGAGGAAACACAGTACTAGAACCAAGTAGGCTCACAGCACACAGCAGTATACTACTACTACTACTAATAATAATAATACGGACTTCTGCGGGTGACAGGGAACCAATGCATTAGCTGCTTGGAGCAGGAGCTTGATCTTTGGCCCTTTTTCTGAACTGATAAAGCGAGATTTCGGGGCTTGTAATCCATTCCATTTTTCTCCAGTTTTTGACTGGAAAATAACAACAGTTTTTAAATCATATACGCTTACAAACATTCTTATTCTCGTCTAGCATGCAAAGCACCCTCTTTATGGGCTCCTCTTCATTTTATGAGGCCGCCCCGTTTTTGGCATGGGC